ACATCTTCATAATTCATTAATTGCAAGATTCCAAAATTTTGGAAAACTGTGTTTCTATTCTCTTCACCCTGCTTAGTGTGAGTATTTTTCTCTTTGTTACAGATTGGATTATAGGAGTATCCCCCAGCCTCTGCTGGGTGTTATAGAATCTGTGGCATATTATCTTTCTATAAATCTGAAAAATTCTGAAATTCTCAAGGCCCTTCCACGATGCCACAGGTTTTAGCTATTAGGTGTATGTTATATTTTTGAGTTTTTATGTGTCAAAAGTAAAGTGTTATTTGTTGTGTTTTAATAATGTTTGCATAATATTTTCCATACAAATACAAGGGCAGTATTCATCTGCCCTGTGATTCAGTGACTCATAATTTATCCAAGATAAATGAAAACTTACTCACAAACAAGCCTGGTATGAGAATTTTCAGAGTGTCTGTGTTCACATATCAAAAAAGTGTAAACAATCAAATGTCCGTAGCAGAAGAGGTAAATTACACACTACTCAGCCATTAAATGAACTATGGTGACATGCAGCAATATGGATGAGTCTGACAGCTGTTATAATGAGGGAAAGAAATTGAAGACAAAAGATTATGCCTTCATTTTCTGAACATCTAGTTGAGGCAGGTTAAATCAGATGGATGTAGGGCTTCAGGTACAAGGAGACTTTCTGGGTTTGTGGAAATGTCCTGTGTCTTCAGTGAAGCACCATTCAGCCATAAAAAATAATAAGATCCTGTTCCTGTCATTTGCAACAGCGTGGATGAAACTGGAGGTCATTATGTTAAGTGAAATAAGCCAGGCACTGAAAGAGAATCTGCACATGTTCTTACTTTTTTGTGGGAGCTATGAAAACTTAAGACAATTGAACTCATGGAGATAGAGTGTAGAGTGATGGTTACCAAAGGGTGGGAAGAGTAGTTGGGAGAGTGGTTGGAATGGTTGATGGGTACAATAATGTAGTTAGAATGAATAAGATCTAGTGTTCGATGGCACAACAGCTTGACTACAGTTAACAATAATTTATCATACATTTAAAAATAAGTGTAATTGGATTGTTTATAATACGAAGAAATGGTAAATGCTTGAGGTGATGAATACCCCACTTACCCTGATATGATTAATATGCATTGTATGCCTGTATCAAAATATCACATGTACCTTATAAATACATACACCTATTGTGTGCCCACAAAAACTTGGAAAAAAAAATCCTGATTGGATATTGCCCTTAAGATCTTCGGAGTCCACTGCATGTGAATTTTGCTTCCATTTTTAAAAATGATTCTTGAATATAGGGCAAGTACTTTGGAAATCAGAAGTTATAAGATTCCAGATAATCACTTGAATTCAGTATTACAAAATATGATTTTAATGACTCATGTTACAAATGTGAAAGTCAGTGTTGTGTCTCTGTAGGGGCACTCATTCCTGATGAAGGTTCTATAGGGTACTTTGTGAACTATCTGGAGTTGACATGTACAACTTCACGATGCCCTGTTTGATGAGTTGTTATTTTTGAGAAAAAAGAGGTCAGTTAAACTGGTCTGAAAACTGGCTCATAGAAGTTCTAGAGCCTCTGGACTTAGTTTTCTCATCTGAACTTATATTTGAAAAAGAGGTGACATACACTTTCAACAGTGTTTTAGGCAGGTACGTGCTGCCAAACCTCATTGTCAAAACCAGGACAGTAAGGTTGAAATAACCAGTTTGATATGAAAGTAATTCTATAATGAACCCTGTAGTCTCTTAAGACACATAGGATCGTCTTCTGTGAATAGAGTGGTGGGGAGTGGTCAGGACTTGAGGGTGAAGCCCATCCTGGACTGAGACCACCTAGGATCAAATTCTAGCTCTGTTGACTAAATCCTGTGCTTCTCTGGGAGGCATTAGTGTACCCTGCGATAATGTGGCTGTGCTCTGGTGTAATATACCGTCACCTCCAGTAATACCATATGGCAGACTACACCAGGATCTCCTCATGAAGCCTATGCTGCTCTTATTTTTATTCCCTTAGGGTGATCTCTCTTCTGTTTTCATTATCCTGCGCCCTGCAAATTACAGGAGTGTGCACACAGTGGTGTGCGCAAGCATTTCTTCCATCATTTTTCTCTGTGGCTTTCTCCCATGTTTGACAAACTCCATTGCCAGATAATGAATAGTTATTTTGTTATCCAAAAGGAGCAGTTCAGTGCAAACATGTTTTCAAGCACCTGTTCCTTCTGCAGGAAACACTTCTTTCATCTTTATTTCCTCCTTGATGGAATTAAATTTGCCCACTTATTTACTGATATTTTCAAACTTGTATCACTTCTTTCTCACTATGGTAGATGACTGAAAGTAAACCTACTGCCCTTCTTTTTTTCTTTTCTTTTTTTTTTTTTTTTTTTTTTGATTTAGAGTATAATTTATAATACTTTTGGCATTTCATTTTTATATATAAATTAAATTTGAAACAACTTTCGGTAAGTTTTAACTTTCAGATGGCTAGTTTTAGCAAATAAGTTTAAGAAGTTTTATTATAATGGATTTAATTCTTCCAAGGGTATCTTACTTATTTTTGTTTTTAACAAATAATTTCTATGTCTTTCAAAGATCATACTTATTTTTTTGTTCATCTTTGTACAAGTTGATAGGATTCAAATTCCATAGGCATGCAAGTATCTAGTACCTGTAATCTGCAAAGTAGGTTTTTAAAAATTGGCAGTAGCATGTAAAACATTGTCTTTTATATTTCACTCATATTTTTCTTTAATTCTTGTGATTTACTAAAAGCTCACTCAGCAGTTCTGTTATTATATTACACTATTCATTGTTGCAGTGTCAAAAATGGAATTTTGTGTACAGCTTGGATAGAAAGGAACACTGAGAAGCTTGTCATGTGTCCTGGTTGGCCTTCCCCTTTTATGAATCAGAGAGAAACAAAACTATATCAGAAAATGTTTCATTGGGTTACTTTCATTGTAAATATCACAAAGTCATGTAAAGTTATTAGGATTAAATAACACATAAAAGTAGAGGGCACTTAGTTCTATCTCTACACAGACTTTGATAGGTAGACCCTCATCTGCTTTATTTTGCTGTGGCTAAAGTTTATGGTGGACTTAAACATTTGGGATTTGGAAATAAAGTTAAAGACTTCTCATACCAGTCACTTAAAAGTTCTAGCAAATAACTTGGGAGTGGCTGTAGGAACACAGGGGTTAGGCAGTGGTAACAAAGAAGCCCTATTCTCATGCATCTTACTTTGGGAGTGGTGACAGGCAACAGACTATAATTTGAAGTAGAAACAATTAACCTTGCCAGTAGGTTCTTGGAGATAACAACTTTAAACAAAATGAGTATAATGAAACCTTTTTTCCCCTCTGTGTTAAAATGAAAGGATGTTGAGAGCAATGCATTATTTGAGGACCTGCTGTCCATTGTTTCGCTTAAAGTTAGTTTTGAAGAACATACTGACCCACATTAGTGAGGATCTACTGTAATCTAGGGATGGCCTTTGGAAAAGGAAGGTAGTATTTAGGTTGAAGTTGGTGGGGATGGGGATAAGTAGGATTTGGAAAGAGAGAGAGGGGCAGAACAGTACACAAGGGAGCATTTAAGGATGGAGGAAGTGGGAGTATGCACAGAAATGAGTGGTGGAGAGCAGTCTGATTTGACTTACAATATTACTTACATACGTGTGAAAAGTAGTAGGTTAATGGGCTTAACTTGAGAAGATATTTTTGGACCAGAGATCATAGGCAGTTGAATGAAGTCTTTTATATTTTTAGGTAGTAAGAAACCATGAAAGTGTTTCGAGACATGAGAATGTTAAGAAACATGAAGAAAATTGTGATTTGGGCACTTAATCTGATCTTTGTGTATAGATGGATCGGAAAAACAGACACCATTAGCAACATGTTTTAGTAGTTTGGGTGCTGTGCCAAAAATGTGACTAGAACAGTAAATGGAAGGAGTGGGATGAACTCAAGGTAAATGGGATGGCCAAACATTTTGATGATTAAAGACTCTCCTGATTTACATTTTTAGCATAGTTATCGTTAGTGTCCCTTTTTGATTTTAAATGTTTCCTGCTTTGGACAATGTGGTGACCCTAAAGATAGATTGCTGTAGCATTGATAGCACTTGCCAACTAGATTGAAAGAGGAGACAGGGATGGTGGCATAAGAGAGCTAAACACACGATTTTTAGAACTTCTTATAATTTCACTGAATTTTCCTGTTTTGAAGAATGAAGCATAAAATTTCCTTACCTAAATTCTACAATCAAATCTTATGTGTTTAAAATTGTGTGTGTGTGTGTGTGTGTGTTTAATGAACACATCCGAGTTTTGGAATATTCAGCAAAATGATAGATGCTGGCTGGGTGCAGTGGCTCACACTTGAAATCTTAGCACTTTGGGAGGCTGAGGCAGGAGGCTCACTTTAAGCCAGGAGTTTGAGACCAACCTGGGCTACAAAACTAGGCCTTGTCTCTCCAAAAAATTAGCCAGGCATGGTGGCGCATACCTCTAGTCTTGGCTACCTGGGAGGCTGCGGTGAAAGGATCTCTTGAACCTAGAAATTCAGTGGCAGTGAGCTAGGATCATGCCACTGTACTCCAGCCTGGGTAACAGAGCAAGACCCTGTATCTAAACAAAATAAGATTAATAAAAATAATTTTAAAATGATAGATGCTGAAGAGAATATGCTATATTTAGTCTTATCTCATATTTTCACTCATTTTGATTTAAAAGCAAAGCTTTCTAGGAAAACTTTAATAAATCGGTATAGCTGACATAGAAATTTTCCAGATAGATCAATATCCTGAATATCAACATGCCATCACTGAGGAAACAGGCTTCTTTGTGTTAGCACCTTTTGGTTCCCGATCATTTTTCCCCTATTGAAACAGGTGACTATAGTCACATGATACTTAACTTTAAGGCTTATTCGTAGATATAGCTGTTATATTTGTGGACAGTCTCAAATGTTTGTATCTCGTGTGTTTTCCATGTGTAGGCAGAAGGAGAAGACAGCCTGAAGAAGATGCAGCTGATGGAGCTTGCAATTCTGAATGGCACCTACAGAGATGCCAACATTAAATCACGTAAGAATGAGCCCTGAGGCCCAGGGTTACCTCTGTCTCCGTTGTTTTGTCTACAAACTTTTTTCCTTTTTGGCAGCACAACACAAGAACAGTTTATACAAGTGAACAGTTGAAGTAATTCTGTCACTTGATATGGGACTGACAATCCTATTTTTAATGCTTTCATGAATTGAGGACACTCTTGATTTTTTTTTTTTTATGCCAGCATGTTGAAGTTTTGAGTTTATAAACCTAGATTATTTTAATGAAATCTCAATCTCTAAATTCAAGAGTTTAAGAAAGTTTCTATTTGGTTAACTACAGATGTAAAGCTTCCAGCTTATCTTGTTAAATTTATGCAAAAGACAAAATTTCAAAAGCCTATTTAAAAAGGTGAATTTGAAGTGTATCTGAATGAAATGGCCCTCTGTTGAGTTCTGTCCTTTCACTTTGCTTGCATGTTTTCCCTCCAGTATTTTTCCCTGTTGATTTCATATGTGAGTTCACAGAGATCAGTGGGTGATAATTCTTTTTCAGTTCTATTTCTGCTTTTATATGTATCTGCATGTTTTTATAAACCATAAAAGAGTAGCTTTTTTATGTTTAAAATGAAATAATGTGAAATTTATATTTTGAAACAATTTAAGGTTCAAAAATGTCATTTATATGAACACACCATGTTTAATTACTGATTATTTTTTAAAAACACGTAAAATTTTAAAGTTCTAGCTAGCTTTCCAAAATGCAGACAACTTAGTGGGTTTAAAAGTAGTTACTTTACAAATTGTTTCTATTGATTTACTCATGAAAATGTGAGTATATCGTTAATAGGAATTTAGAAATAGAGCTTGTTAATGTTTTCTATGACGTTAGTTCCCACAGATGCTGGAAATTTACATATATGCCTAGTGATTACTTGACTAACTTAATGCAATAAAAATTATTCTTATTTTACTTTGAAACCAAAGGTGTACTTTAGATAGAAATCTACCAAAACTGTGTTTCTGTGGACTCTCGTTACAAATTATTTTTTAACATCTGTTAATGCAAGTGTTTCATTGTGCTTTTGCATGTACTTTAGTCTTAAGAAATCTTAAAAACATAGATATATCAAGTATATGAACTAAATATAACCTATTTAATGGTGTCATTCATTTTTTTTACAATGGCTTTTTAATTTTTGCACATTCTTAATCACATTGGGAAAGGGAAAGCTGTTTGCATTTGATTGGTGTGCTTTGGCATTTTTGTGTGATCAGCGCATGTACTAATGATTTCCTTTTATTTTTCTTCTTTCCTGCTTTTTCCTTTCTTTTTCCTACTCCCCTCTCATTTTCCCATATTTTATACTGCTGTCTCTACACTTCTTTCTAAATTTCCTTGCTTACTGTAGCAGCCCTTGCCTTTTCTCTTGCAGCAACAGCCCAGGCTGCTCCAAGGATTATTACTGGGCCTGCGCCGGTTCTCCCACCAGCTGCCCTGCGTACTCCTACGCCGGCTGGCCCTACCATAATGCCTTTGATCAGACAAATACAGACCGCTGTCATGCCAAACGGAACTCCTCACCCAACTGCTGCAATAGTTCCTCCAGGGCCCGAAGCTGGCTTAATCTATACACCCTATGAGTACCCTTACACATTGGCACCAGCTACATCAATCCTTGAGTATCCTATTGAACCTAGTGGTGTATTAGGTAAGTTCTTCTCCCCATGGGCTTAACAGCATTCTTCTTTATAAATAGTTTTGCTCCCCCAGATTTTGAAATGATTTTATCAGTTTTGGAAAGGCAAGACAAGTTTCCATTAGGAAAGACTGAAAACTACATTTTGTTTTATTTCAGCCTCTCATAAGCCTTCCCCTTTGAAATAATTGCACCTTAAATTTATTCAGATCTACTTTGGTAACTCAGGTTCAGTTTGGTTGGGTAAATCTGTTGTGTACATTTTAACAGATACTTTTTACATTTGACATTACTGATGCCATTCTGAGTTTTAGGTCCCACGCCATTGGCCTGTCACCTCCATCAACTCCACTTCTCAAACTTAGATTTATTTTGTCTCACAGATTTATGTAGTTGTTGGAAAAAGTTTAAACTTCCATTTGAAAGTATTTTGAGATCTTTATAAAATCCTTATTATTGTATGTGTTTTGTAATATTTGTGATCACTTAAAATATGAAAGGGACCAGGTAAATACAGTCATGCATCGCTTAACAGCGGGGATACATTCTAAGAATTGCCTTGTCAGGCAATTTCATCATTTGATGTACATCATAGAGTGTACTTTCACTGACATAGTTGATAGAGTTTACTACACACAGGCTGTGTGGCATAGCCATTATAATCTTATGGGACCACTATATGTGGTCCATCATTGACCAGATGTTGTTATGCAGCGCATGACTGTAGTTGCATTCTTAAGATTTTTCATTTCTTGTCTTTTGAAGTCCTAATCATATTAAACATGAGAGAGAACTCTTAATTTCAGTAGTACCGTGTAGAATAGTTAAATAAATACCAAATCACTGAATTCAGAATCTCACTTAAGGCAAAAATTAAAATCATAATATAAACGCTTGGTTTTACATGAATAAAAAGTGGTGTGCTTGAAAAAGACATTACTGATGCCTTTTTTTTATAGAGTGGATTGAAATGCCAGTCATGCCTGATATTTCAGCCCATTGACTTGCTGGATGAAGGACTAGAATACAGCAGCTGTTATAACACGACCAGTCAATGTGGAACAAACTGTTTCTGTGCAACCCCTTTGTTTTACCAGACAAAATTTGAATACCTTTTTTCCTGAATTGTATATGACCTTGGTGCTGCATGCATGCTGTTGACTTTTAGGACTTTGATTTTTTAAGGTTTTTTTTCCCAGCATTAATATTGATTTATAAAAATTTGAAAATCTTTAATGAACTGGAACACTAAGATTTAAACTAGAAAATGCATTGTTCAAGTAAAGAAAACCATGATGCTCTGTATGTTATCTGTGTGTGTGCATGCACTCAGGTGCCCTTTGTTTCATGAACAAATACATTTCATTGTACATGTTTTCCGTTTAAATCATTGTATAAAGTAATTGCAGGTCAGAATTATACCACAGAACTGTTTATGAGAGGATTGTCTCTGTTGCACATTTCTTGAAGCATTTTTAAAATAACATGTAACCTGTAACCTTGTTTAAGTTTTCCTTTCTATTAATACTCTGTCTTGTGGTCCCGTGCATGCTCCTTTTCCCAGAACTCCTCTCTGCTGCACCCACAGCATCTGTTCCCGAGGAGTTATGACTCTTGACTTCCTGCAGGGCTAGGACTCTTACCACCAGCTGCTGTTCCAGCACTTTCAATGCAAGATCTCCCTGATTTTGCCACATGGAACTGTACTTGTATTTGATTACCTTATCTAAAATGAATAAGGGGTGATGAACCAGTTTACTGCTTAGAAATAGCAAGAGGCACTGCAGTAAAGTTTGTTTCTCATTGTAAAGCTTCATGTCTTTTGTTTGTTGGAAAATTTTTACTTATAAAAACTTAATTAGTAGCCTGGCAAAATAAAGACCAAAATGTGCATATCCCTAATTGGCATTCATAAGGTGAATAATAATAATAAGTGCCAAATGAAAAAATCTATTATGGTTAATTGTATTTCTTGCCTTGCCACCTAAGCAGTAAAACATGATATTGACCACTTGGAGAACTGAGAAAATTATTTTAAATTGCTAAGTTATAATAAATTTGCACACAGATAACATGCATGCTATTTATGTCACGTCTCACATTAAATTATTTTAAAATAAGCAGTGCCCTTCAAAACAGATGCAGACATGTGTGTTGGTAGTAGTGAGGAGATTGGTATTAGCATCAAATCTTCATTGATGACTAATTTTTAATTCCCTTCCTTTTATCTTTAGGTATGGCTTTCCCAACGAAAGGCTAAGAATTCAAGAACGGTCTTAACTGAACCCTCATCAGATCTGAATTTAACAAATGCTTAGTCTCAGCAGCCTCCGGGGGAAAAAAGCTTAGCCTAGCAGTCAGTGACTTACTTGCACTTTTTGCACATAGATATAAAGTAAAATTATGTTATTAATTTGGTTTAGTCTGTAATATTACACAGTAATGGTAATTTATAAAGGAGTGTATAGTAGTATACTGACTGCTAAGTGTACTATACTGTTTGCTTTACTAATCACCTAATTCATTGCAGTTCATACTTATTGACTCAGAGTTTAAAACCACAATCTGTAGGCTTTAAGAATTGCTTTTAAACCTTTTTAAGTGATAAACTCTTGAAGTGGTCTTAAGGTTAGCAAATAATTGTCAGTATTAAACATGGCATTATTTAAGTAGTCCTGCTGCAAGAAAGGCACTTCAGTGAATATGTGACTAGTAAAGCTTAAATATGTTTGGATCTAATAGAGTTCATGAAATACTGTAACTTGGGGATTGTAAATGAATGGATAAAATAGGTTAAGGCCAAGATGTTTGAAATGAATGCAATATTAATAGATGCATATATACATGACATATTATGGTTAGTTTTAAAACTACTGTGCCTTAACGTGTTTCTTAAACTTTTGTAGTAAATGAACATTTGAAATCCATTTTGATAAACCTGCTGTTAATGTTTTTTTTTCCCCCTTGTGAATGTTTTCTAACTTTGTCTTGGTAATTGCAATTTAACTAGGTGCGGTGGCTACTAAAGTTCGAAGGCACGATATGCGTGTCCATCCTTACCAAAGGATTGTGACCGCAGACCGAGGTTAGTTTAGTTCTGCAGTTCTTGTCTATAAGAAATGCGTTGGGTGTCCATAAAATTTGCAACACCACACCTGATGGAAAAATGTAATTGCTTACCTGCATACAGTTTCTTTTCCTTTTCTAAATTTGTTTATGATCATTGACAGATTTAAGGGTTGGGTTTTTTTGTTTTGTTTTGTTCTTTTCTCCCTTCATATTTTAACTTATTAAATCTTCTATTATTATGTACTATGATTTATTCCTACTAAAACATAAATTAGTCAATTTGGGGAGCTAAATTTTGATGTTGCCTCAGTCATTTTCATTAATAACTTTTGCTAAAATTTACCTTTTAAAATTCCTGAAATTTGGGGATGGTATTGCAAAATGAATTGAACGGATGGTGCTTTAATGAGAGAAGTAAAGGATTATATGCCTCCTGTGTACTTTTGGAGAAAACTGAAGATTTAGTTTCCATTTTTCTTTTATATTTGAGCCACTGTATAAACGTGAGGGTTCACATGTCAAGTACTTAGCTGAAATCAACGAAGTGAGGACTGTGAAGATAACTTTCATGTAGTTGGATTTTTTAAAAATAAATTAGAGCATCTATCCCCTTTTATTCTTACATTCTCTTGCCAAAATGGATCCTTTGATTTTTGTAATTTGCTGCTAAAATATATTATCTGAAGGTAAACTGTCTCTTGACGTTCTGTGGTGATATTATGAGATCCAGCTGTGTGAATACTCATTTTGACTAACCTGTGACTGGAAAATAAGTCTTCATTTTTCTCCTTTACAACTTTTATAATTTGTGTCCTATATATGCCCTTGGACCCTTTTATAAATTATTTTTGCTTATTGAGGAATGGTATTTTCGGCTTACTGACATTGAATTGTTTTCTAAGTTTTTCTGTCTCAAAATAGGAATCTCAAGCATGGCAGTGAAAAAGGATTTTTTTTTACAAGTTTCTATTATGGCACATTTGTTTCCTACAAATTAAATTGATCAAAGTCTCTAATATTAGTGGGGTAAAAGTGCTGGATTTTGTACTTCAATTATACATCTTCTGTGAATTTATGAAGGACCTTCTGCTTCATGTGATTACGTTGAGTACTGATGATAAATACTAGACACAACCATTGTCCACATCAGAAATAAAATGGCTTTCCAAAGACATTGTTGATATTTGTTTAGTATAATCCGTAATTAAAGAACCTCAAAGACTTTTAAACTAATGTGTTACATCACTTATAGTGATTATTCAGTGAACAAAATAGACCCCAGCTCCGTAGTCATCTATGAAGATGATATTCCTTGTAAGTGTTTTGTATGAGCATGTCTCATAAGGATGGGGAAAGTTTTTGGAAAGCCGCTGTCATTTTAAAGAAACTGGACAATTCCATGAATAATTTGAGGTTTTATTCATATTGCTAATGTCTACAGCTGTTCTAAAAAACCCCCCCACATTCCAGCTAATCCTTCCCTATTTAAAAGATTTCTCACCATTTTGCTTTAACACAATAATTATTGGCCTACTTAATACTCCACTGCCTTGAGATAGTTGGACCTATTTGAGGAAGATTTTATTGTATTTGGAAAATTGTGACACATTCCATGTATGGCTCTTTTGTAGTTACATGTTTTGATTAGCCCTGTCACTGTTTTTATTTAAAATCCAATGTCAGCAAACTGAAATGTTCATTTCTTTTTTAGTAACAGAATACTCATATGCTTATCACTGTATGCACTCACTGGGTCTAAGGGAGATGTCTGAAGTCCTTCACTTAAATTATTTTATGATACTACTGTTTTCTCTATTTTTGAGGTTAAAATTATTTTTAAAAAATATTTTGAAGAGATGATTATTAGTATAAGCATTCATTTAATGCAAAGAAACTCAGCCCTTGGACATATAACCATGTAATTCTATATGAATGTTTAGCATACTACATGGTTGACCAATATCTAGTTCTTTACTTAAAGTAAACCCACCTCTTTATATATATTTCAAAACTGAATTTGAAGCCTGTTAGAGACCAACTGACTTTTTAGTTGTAATGAACCATACGGTCTTGCATGGGTGACACACCTGTGTAGGAGGCCAAGACTTGGCAGAGGATGTGGTCTAGGTGTACTGGTATATAGAAATGGTCACTTGCTTTGTTTATATATTCCACATGCGAAAAAGAAGTCAGAAAGTTTTCTGAATAATACAAAAACCATCACTTATATAATTTGTATAAGAAACTTAAAACAATTTTAATCAAAAGTTTAATATCAAAAATGCTTTAAGATTTTATATTTTGGAATACCTGTAAAGTAGTAAGACTACATCATGTTAAATATTTATTTTGTTCTATGATTTCGGAGCAGCAATTTTTATTTTTAAAAAATTCCACTTTTTAAGAAATTCAGGGAAGATTTGGTCACATTGAAGATACAGTATTTTTGTAGTATTTATAAACTGTTCTAAATGATAGACTATAGAAAGCATTTTTGTCATATGAAGGTAAATCAGTCCATGATTTAGATCATTTAAACTCTGAACATTACACCTTCTGGGCTTTGATTTATGAAGTGGCACAGAATCTCACTTTGCACTGAATATCTTTTCATTCACATCTCCTCTGCCTTAGTCACAATGGCAACAGTACAGAAAATTCTATCAAACCTCAGAATATAGTAGAAATAATTAAGCTGTTGAATGAGTCTTAAAAATTATACTACTGTTTAAGTGGACCAAGTTTGGTGAAGCAGAATGTGACAAAGGTTGATTAAGGAAGGAACAACTCAAGGATATTGGGAATGATAACTTTTCCACTTGAGAACTACTTTATGTTTTACTGTAATTTTTAAATTTTTTTTGTCCTTTTTGTTATTTTGCAAAAGAAAATAGTATTTACAGGTGGCTTCTTTTAAAATATAAAAATATAAAGCAGGAATGTATATGAAATGTCAGATTTTATTGTATTTGCAGAGTATTAGCTTTGAAATTGAATAAAGAAAGCTGTTTGTAGTTTTACAATGCCTTATTGGTATCAATTAGAAATTTCTTCTATTTTTTGATGTACTTAGAGCTTTTTGAGTGTAGAATTTTAAATGGCAGGATTTTACAGTGTTTACATGCAAGTGCATTTTATAAGTGTTCTATATGTGTAAAATAGTATTTTCAACTGGAAAGTGTTGGCTAGTGCAAAAGGCCTGGCCATTTTCTGGTTCCCATGATGTTGCCTATACTGCTAGACTACAGTTTAGTATTGCTTTGTATCATGAGGCCAAGAAATTCCATGTTGTTTGTAAATAGAATAATTGAAAAAGCAATAAACATTTATTGAACAAAAGAAACCTTGTTTGGCCCAGAGTTTATGTTGAACCAGATTGTTCATAGAATTTTGAATTTCTTTAGATTCTTTTCTGTTAATCATCAGTTATTAATAATCACATCCATCATTAATAGTTGCTTTAATGCTTGCATCTGAGAGAATACTAATGCTTAATAGCAGTCAGATACTGATAACTGCACTGACTGTTTAAAAATTCTGTATATCAAACCTATTCATTGTTGTTTTTCAGTTTCCTTCATTGACTGCTACTAACTATTAGTTGTTAGTTGTATTTTATTTCTATTTTTTCTTGTTAACCAGTTTGTTTTTTTTTGTTTTTTTGTTTTTTTTTTTTGGTGGGAGTGGGCTCTTCTTCATTTGTTCAAATCATGATATGAAATTGTCATGATTTTAATTGTATTCTGTAGATGGTGTCAGTTTGTCAGAATTAAACATGCTTTTTTTTTATTAGTTGTGATTAGTTTTTCATGTTGTCATTAAGCCGTCACTAGCTGAAACTAATCTCTTCTCTATCTTTTCTTTTCTTTTTTTGTTTTGTTTTTTTTTGTTTCTAACCACCCAGCCGCCACCGGCAACTAACCTATGACCTTCTGACCTCTGAACTCTTCACCCAATGATGACCTGACCATGCCTGCCTGCTGATCAGTTAACTGGTAATCGCCTTTGCTTGCCTGTCGTCAGTGCAGCAAGCTGAGGCACTTGTCCGTTCGTCTTACCATCTAACCAAACAAAAGACAAAGAAATTGTTGTCCTCCAACTCAGCTTTTTTTTTTTTTTTTTTTTTTTTTTTTCCTGTTTGGGTGAAAGTGGTTCTAGAACCTGCACTGAATAGTAGTAAAGCAATAAGGCCCAATTCATCCCACAGCACTGATCATCTTCTAATATCCCACCCTAAGCGAACGGTAAGAAGGCCTCTCTTAAGAATGGGAGACAGATGGCCCTTAACTACTCAATGACAGAGGCAGTTACTGTGAGAGACTTCTAGGAATCTTTTTCTTCTCATAGTGAAGTTAAAGCTCTCTCTGAATGTACTGTGTGATGATGCATCATGCATGAACCTTCGGTCAGGGATGTCATTGGTTGGTGAAGTGATTTCAAAAAGTATTCAAAATTTGATATGCTGTTTAGTCACTACAGTGCCCTCAAAGGGCAGAAGTTGCAGCCTTTTTTATATTGCCTGCCAAAATTTGAAGTATTAGAGGAAAGTGTGCCATGAGAGGAGAAACTTAAGGAGTTTTGAAAAGTAATGCAAATAACAAAACTGCAACACTATTTTTAAAAAGACAAATATCTGAGTTAAAATTACTGAATCTTTATTTTACACCTTCTAAAAAATATATGAGAACAAGGTACATGCATTATGTGTCACATTACTGGGCAAACTGTTCAAGTATTTTTTTTTAAACCTCCCTGTATAGAAAAAAATCATTAAGGATGTAAAAGCCATGCTTGCCTATTTGCTGTATACATGTAATGAAATTGTAGATAAAGTGTAGTGCATTGAAACAAATGAACAAAAAAGTAGATACTTTTACTATACAAGGGTGCTGGTGCAGAAAAAAATATATATATTTTTGGAAATGTAGCATTTTATACTTTCAAGTGTTATAAAAAAAAAAAAAGAACAAAGAAACCCTTTATTTCATTAAATGATTTTTTCTGGTGGTTGTCAAGAAACAAAAGACCAAAAGAGCCTTTTTGTCTTTCTTTTTTATTTTTTAAGTATTGGAATAAGTCTAAAGAAAAGAAAGTGCCTTATTTTTCTTCATGGTCATTTAGTCAAGTGTCTCATAAAGATCAGCTCCTCCCTCAGAATACAAGTTAATGCATGTTACTCAGTCGCCCAGTATGTGAAAGAAAATAAGAGGGAGACAAATGAGTTGATGGTTTGAATCATATGATTTTTGCCACATTACCTTGATGCAAATTTGCCAAATCTGATACTGTGAAGAGATTTGATAATTTTTCTAATGCCTGACTAGCAAGTTTTAAAACATCATTCTTTAAAAAAATTATAATTGAATACTTTTGGTTATTCCAGTCTTCAATGATAACCCAAAGGACTCTGAGATAAAAATTATGTGTAACCTGAACTTCAGACAAAATTAGAGCTTTGTTTTATTTGGAGAAGGGGGATGCATTCATTTTGTTTTGTTTTTTATTTTGTTTTTAATTAATTGGAGATAATAGGATCCCTAGCAAATGTTTTCACGAAAGTGACTCTTTGTGATTTTCATTCTGGAAAACAGTGTTTTAAATAACCCAAATGTAACCACGTCTTTATATCATACCAGATAACATGTGTAATGCATCTCTTTACAGTTTCAGTAACCTCTGCCTCCCCGACCCTTTAGGTTTAAAAAAATGTGAAAAACTAGCATCATAGTGCGTATAATACTCAACCACATTTCAGCTTAAGCTTCTAATTTCTCCAGAAGTTCAAACAGTTATATAGTTCAAGCAATTTGTGTTCACAGCCTACATCTAAACACTTGAGTGAATAATCATTAACTGCTCAGTACCAGATGTGGCAAATCTCAAGTGATGGTGGACTCCCCTCCAGCTTATCAACTCGTCCCCTCTTCCACACCTTCCCAGCGTCGCAGTCAGAGGTCAGCAGGAAGCTTAGTCAGTACCTTCTTGGCGACCTCCCCTGCCATCTTGTCTCACTTGGAAACCGTTGTCAGTTTATTTACTATGCAATAGACATTCATTGTTTTGTATCCAGCTAGTTTTGGTTTAATATGCCACTGCTTTGTCTTTCTGTTACACATACAGTTTTGATTTATTTACAGTATATGCTGTGCCATTTTGATTTTTATATTGTTTGGTTGGTTGAATCAATTTGCGGCACTCAAACACTTGAGGTGATAGTTATTAAAAACAATACCAGTATTTGACCCAATTTCATCTCAACTATGTTATACCTGGACATTTTAGATGTTTATCAAAGGTCTTTTATGGGGAAGAAAGTAAATGTATGAAATAATAAATGTGTGACATTTATGGGTAATGTTGGCTCTGAGCAAACTTTTGAAAACTTGGTTGACAAAATTTTGGATCAACTGAAAAAAAAAGCATGACTTTTGAAATCTCTGAATGCCTTGGTTCTCAGTATTATCATTCTTTATTGAATTTATTTCTTATTAAAATATGTAGTTTTTAAGACTTTTTTTCTGACAGTATTATGTAATTTTTTAGCGTGGGTAGATGGGAGTGTCGCTTGTATGTTATCGTACAGCTGACATGTATTTTTGTCTATTCTTTATTATCTTAGTAGTTTCATGCTATGTATGTACCATAACCAACCTATTGCCTATGAGAAACATGTAAGATAATGTATTTACAGCCATTGTTACAAGTTTATAATGTATTTTTCTATCTTGTTTTATATGTATGTTATATAACATTCAAAAAGAATTTTTTTCTTGATTGAGAAAAAGATACAAAATGCAAAATCCACAATTTTGATAACTGAAAATTGCCAATTGTTTTGCAGTACTTTACTATATTGGGTGTCTTGTCTTTTTTGGGCTTTTAGTTAGCTAATGAATGAATACATTAGACACTTTTGGGTTTTAGTTGGGATTTTACATAGCTTGCATTTTAATTCTTTGGTTCTTTGCTGTTTCTATTAACCCATAGCATTATTTTAATAAATGTTATAATACCAACCTACTAACTCTGGACTGTGTCTGTTTATTAACCTTTATATGTTTAATTAAAATAAATAAAGACAAAAGAATGTAAAGTCTTGAGTTACTGGACTAACCCTGAAGAACGTGACCACAGATAACATAGCGTGACTTGTTTTTATGTTGTTTGTCAGCTGACAGTTCCGCACACTACTCTTAAAATGGCTTTGATTATTCTGGTCTTTTACCTGGTGGGGAGGGAAGGTAGGTGCCGTAGAGATGGGAACAAAGTAGCCTTTGTTTGAGGCAGTCTTCTGCTCTTGCCACTTGCCTTTTAGCATCTGCCTTACTAATTCCACACCTTATTTTTCCTTCTCCAAAATAATCACTGTCTGCTCACAGCATCAAGAGTAAAAAGATACATTGTAATGGTATATACCTGGAGAAACCAGTTTGATTCTTTGTTGAACCATTTCTTTTAATTTCTGTAAGTAATTTTATGGTCACATTGTAAAGCAGAGAAACTGTTGATATTTTACCTTTATGTAGGTTTTTGTTTTAACTTGACCTTTTTCCTTTGGAAAGCATTGAACTTCTTTGGCTAACTGCTCCTATTAGGGGGCTCAACTTGGGTGAAGCCAAAGGCTCCCTGGCTGTCTCTCTTGGTGGCCCCGGTGGCCCAGAGCTCCACCACTTTCCAGTGAGGTAAAGAACCCTAGCATATTATTGAGTTTTCCTCAGAAAACTTTAAGAGGGAAGGACTACAAGATTTGAAAAGTTGTGTATGATTAATTTCTTGCATGCATACCAGTTTAAGGTTTCTTAAATATCTTCATGCTTTTCTTGGCTGAAACTTGGCAAATTAACCTGTAATTATGAATTCTTTAACTCAAGGTGCATTTTTATTTCACAGATTGGTACTTGCTTTTTTCTGTGAAACAATTCTCTTAGATAAAATTCTCAGGATGAATTTTTGCATTTGTAAATAACGATATATCTTTGTAAATTACATTTTATTTATTTAGAGTTCTAAAATGTGCGGCTTAAATGAGTTACATATAATAGAAGACAAAACTATACCAGTATGCTCTTAACCAGATTGTCAAGATACTCTCATTTCATCAATATATATACACACATACATATATAGATAATATACAGAGTAATGATGGCTGATTTGAGTGATAACAGCTAATCACCATTGAGATGGTTATTTGGATCATGTAAACAAACCTGGTCATTTCTCTGATGGGAGCGGTGGGCAGTGTGCTGTTGTTTGATAGACAGGTCTTTAGCATGCTATTTGTACAAGTTTTCCTTGCCATATAGTTCATGTAGTAGTCTGTGAGAGTTCAAAGATGGCTGTCAAGCTGCTAATATACAAGTTGTCATGGTGCCATGTCACTTAAATTGATGAATTTCTATGCAATGTACTATTCTCTGAAGCCTATGAATGCATACTCATCTCATTTTCAATTAAGGCTACTTTATGTATAATTATGTCATTGCTACCTTTTATGTAAGAAATGTAAAAAAGTTTTAAAAGGTGCAGATAACATTTCAGTTTTTATACAGGTTGCAATATTATTAAACATGAAACTGCCAAATTCCTAGAATCACATTACGGATTTTTTATACAGGTTACAATAGTATTAAACATGAAACTACCAAATTCCCAGAATAGTAAAATTTCTAGGGTCAGTTTATTGATTGAAACTATTTGAAAAAAAAAACAATTGAAAATTGAGCTTTCAGTCAAGAAGTTGGCGAAATTAATGTACTTAAACATCTTTTTTTCTGTAGGCAAAATGTCAGGGAAAACTGAATGTGAAAGTAGTTATTCACATGCACCCCGGCACGGTAGCTCCACATGTGAGAGATCATTCAAGCACCCTGCCCATAAAACCTGCATGTGTATACATAAACACAATTGGTGTCATTACAGTTTTCTAAACACTAGATAAAGTTCCTAATTTTTTAGTGTGCCAAAAGCAAATGATAGGTTTAAATGAAATTGCTCATTACCAAATCAAGACTCTTTGAAATTTATAAATATATAAAAGTCATAACACTTTAACATGTGACAGCCTAAGGTTTTTTTAGTTTGGGGGTGGGGTGGGGGTGGTTTTGCCTGTTGGACCAGGATGAAATGCCTGTCTTTATTCCTTGGTAAGACGTAGCCATTACGGCATTTCAAACTATTTTTGGTAGAAGAGAACATACTGCCAAACGATAATTCATTTAGCAAAAATTATTCTCCAACTTTCTGAATTCACAAATTTTCTAATTGCATAGAGTAGTTTATTACATTGTCACGAATTCTTTAATGCCTTTATTTCAAATGGAAAAAATAACTTTATGGACAATATTTTAGAAATACCATGTGATTCACATCTAATTTTATATGTAGCTGCTTTTAAGTGATCAAAATTGAGATGCCTTTGATATGAAGAGATTTACCTACATTATATGCACTCGTGCCCTCAATGCGGAATCAAACTGGTTAACTTGTGCACAGGCCTCTCCTGTCTATGTCTCTGCTGCACTAATTGCCAGGGGATGGGAGAGAAGGTGGAGGAATTCATTCACAGTAGAAGGAGGTAATAGGTGCGGCAAATAGCAGCACACAGTATTGATTCCACATTATAATTTTGTTGCCCCTTCTCGGCAAAAGATACCACATTGTGGGAAGATCACAGCTTCCAGGGTAAAAGTTAATTTATAACTTTAAAAAGTGCTATTAAGTTTTTATTACCAAATATATCTTTTATGGTTTATATTGTAGTGGTATGTATGAAACATTTAAAATTTTACTTGTGGAAATGGCGTGTGTATATATATCTATAGAAGTTGAAATAGGTGTTCCCACACGTGAACGGAGAACTGCATATGACTGTACGTGAAGTGCAATAAACAACTGGAAAAAGTACATGTGCTTCATCCTGTCCAGCCAACTGCAGCTGGAAAGTGCTGCTTATTCTCCACCTCCAGAAATGCATGTATAAATATAGAACAAAGAATGCACACTTTCAATTTTATTGAGGTTTTCAACACTATTTAAAAAAAAATGTAAGCATCTGACATTCTGGAGTTCTAAATTAGAAGATGAGCATAATATTCACCCTGATTTTAGTTACTAAAGGAGATTAGTAAACAGACTTAGTGTTCCTCAGTTGGACTGTGCATCCAAGATAGTTAACATTTTTTATTTTTAATAAATGGCACAACTTTTATGTGTTTTTTATATGTAAGAAAGAAGAAAGGAATGCTGACCAAAACTTGATTCATGAGAAGAACTAGTGTCATTAACTTGTGGAACAAAGTAGAATTGGTTTATTTTAAAAATTGTTTCCAGTAGTGTGAAACCTTTAGGATTCTTTAACATCTAAATGTTTTGACTCCTTGTACCTTAAGTTTTCCAGTCTTCCTTATTTACATCATCTCCAAGTACCTCTGCCTTCTTTCCTCTTGCTCACTGGAACCTTAGTTTTCCTCAGCAGGATGGTTTGTAAAAGTAGCCCACAGGTGTAGGATCTGTGGCATGTCATACAGACTGGTGGCCCAAAGGTGTGCTTGGTTTGGCTTATGCAGTGTTTTGCTTTTTAAACTACTTGCCATCATTTGAAGGTGGAAACACTAATAAAAAAGTCTGATTGCCCATATTAGATTTTTTTTTTTTAAATCTCTTCACAAAATGTGCTCCTCCTCAAAAATCAAAATGTCTAGAAAGCCCAAACATGTATTGTCACATAGTAGGCACCAGCTGAAACTTGAGTAATCAAACTACCCCCTTAAGCCAAGTATTCCCTGGTTAATCGCCACCCCACCACTCCTTCCTGTCTCTCGTGTCACACTTGGGCTGTTGGTTTTCTTACTCCTGTCTTGCTTTAATCCTTCCTCCCCACCCTCTGCCCAGCTCCTGTGGATATCTGCTTGTCTCCTGGTCCAGGATGGTGATCTTTCAAACCAACTTCTCAAAAGGGATGGCATAAAATAGATTTCGATGTTTTTCCTTCTGCAAAATCAGATGAATGTTCTATCAAAATTATTAGTCACTTATTCATGCATATTGGATTTCTTACTGTTTAAAGAAGGACTTCTATTAAGTGAGTGGAAGGATTAGACATTTGGATTTTCCTCCTAATGTAATTTTTTATGATTACCTCATACAATAATTTGCGGTGGTCTTAGCAGTTAAACTAATTGACCATCTAATAGTTGACTATAAATATATCTAAAATAATAGTCATAAGTTTGGCATCACAACTTTCCCCAAAAAAACTTTATTAAAATTAGATTATTCCCGTGTAATGCTATTTTGTGAAGTATATATGTACATAATGTATACTCTCTGAAAGTGCTTGTTTTTATATGCTATACAACAGTTCCAATTTTAAAGACTGTCTCTTGGGATGAAAATCTATAGCCTTTGTTTTCTTAAAGTATCCTATTCTATATACATTGATAACTGGGTATTAATAAAGTTATTACAGGAAAAAAATGACTAAGAGCAAAAGGAGAAGAAAATATTTGCAAATGAATCCACAATTCTTGCAGAACTATTTGAGTTGACTAAAGATTTTATGATCAATCCTTTAACTTAGAACTGTCAAGGTTGGGAATGATGAAAGTAAAGTGCCTTGGCTATGCTTGAAACCTGAATTTTAATGCTTCCCTTATTATATTCATTGTCTTAAATGATTTGGTTTACGAAGTTAAGACATACTAGTAGTATAAGTGGAAAGTTGGATACATTTTAATTAAACGATATATGTTAATGAATTATGTTTTTGTTGATTGCTTTCTCACTGAGGTAAAATGGCATTAGTTGTCCAGAATTTAAACTGACTCTAGATTCTTAGGTGGTGGGAAAATGTAAAACTTGAAAGTTCATGGGCGGAACGCAATGCCTGTGAAAACACCTGAAGCTGAGTTAAATTTGACTCTCGGGGAAGAAAGCTAGATTAGCAAATCAAACATGCATATGCCTCATCCAGAGCTAGTATTCAGGCATCAGGTTTTGGCCTACTGGCAGTAAAGTAGTTTTCAAGTGAAACAAAGTGGAAAAGTTTGATAGCACATCTAGAAGTGGTCTGTCATCCTTAAGTATTGTTGATTCTAAAATGAGTTAGAAACGTCCCATTACTCTTGGAATTAAAGCAACTTGGCATGGAGAGACATGAAAGAAAAAATGTAGTGTAAGCTTGACTTTATGTCCTTTCACTAAACTCTATGAATCTATTTGGCAGAGAGATTTTGTACTCTACAAGGAAAACATCACTGATACGGACAACACCAATAATGTACATGCCATTAAGCCGATAAATGCCGAAATGGCCTGGTGAATACCTTGAATTCTTCAGAGAAGTGTTTTAGTCCTTTCAGTGTTGCTATAGCAGAACACCTGAGGCTGGGTAATTTATATGAAGAAAAAAAAAAAGGTTTATTTGGCCCACAATTCTGGTGGCTGGAAAATTCAAGATTGGGCAGCTGAATCTGGTGAGACCCTGATGCTGCTTTAGCTCATAAAGCCGAAGGGGAGTGTGGGCCAGGTGCAGGGAGAGATCACAAGGCAAGAGAAAGCAAGAGAGAAACTGAGGAGGCCAGACTCACAACCCAGTCTTATAGGAACTGGACGCATCCATGCAAGAGGGAAAATACCCCCAACCCGAGGGAGGGCATTTATCAATTCCTGAGGGATCCACCTGAGTAACCCAAGCACCTCTTACCAGCCCCACCTCCCAGCACTTCCACACTGGGGATCAGATTTCAACAGGAGTTTTCGTGGGGACAGACTGCACCCAAACCACAGCAAAGTGTAACCCAATTGTTCTAAAATCCTTGTTATATTCTGCTCAAGTATCACCACCACCATCTTTAGCTCCATCCTAGAGAGGCTGTAACAAAAGTTACTGAACCAGAAAGCGGAGTGTACCTGATCTAAAAGAAGTAAGCCAGGCGCTGTGGCTCACACCTGTAATCCCAGCACTTGGGAGGCTGAGGTGGGTGGATCACCTTATTTTTCTCTATGGAACTTCACATTTGAGTAGATATGCAATGAACTGTGGCCAGGAAGAGTTCATGTTATTAAGGGAAAGACGGGGAAGCTCCTCCTTTCCTTACCACTTTCATCCCTCAGTTCAAAGAGGAGCACTACTTCCTTCAAAACTGCATCAAACAGAACTAATGGAAAAGAAAAATAGAAACATGTAAATTTAGCCTAAATATGAACTTGAAAGATGAAGTTGGATACCACACCACCTCCCATTTCTAAAGTATTTTTTCATTTGTTACTCTTCTAAAGCCAAAGTGATGAAAGTCATGCCTGCTGTGAGATCTGTATCCATTCCAGCAGGTTGCTTGCCAAGACTTTGGTGGTAGGGTCAACATGAGCCTTCTTGCTGAGCGCCCTCAGCAGGCTCTAAGGAATGCCTGAAGTTTTAGGCACAGGAGGCTCTCTTTGCCACTCCCTTTCCATTTGAATTGCTTACCTATTTCTCATAGGAGCATTTCTTAAAAGTAGAAACTGTAGAATTGTGTAATGGAATTAAAATACAGAAATACCAGAGGAAAAATTATTCGGCCATATATAGAAAAGGGTTGCTGTGGTACGCTGTAGTATGTCAGTGGCTATAAAAATCAAATATTATGGGAGGAAACAACACTAGAAGATATGCCAGCAGAAATCACGCATGCTTGGCACTTGCAGGATTGCTCATATTGATGAAGATTAGCACCACAGTCAAATTTCTGAGTGCTTAATTGGCATTAAACAATGCAATCAGTATTTCTGTGTATATCAAAATATAGGAAAACCAAACTTGTGCATCAAATTTATGTTAGTCAAATACAGTAATGCTGTATAATAGAATAATCTCTTAGAAACCAAGGGGAATCCACATAACCTGAATACACGTTCTCAAAAATACTCCCTCAGTGACCTACTGGGGAGCTTCAAATACATGGTCTGGGTAGACAGTAAAGATGAGATATTTTAATTGAAGACATCTTTTATTTTACAATTTTAGCCTCCCTTTTTAACAAGATTTACAAGTATTTTACTGCCACCCTTCTTTAAGTAATGCTCTTCAACATCTCTAAGAAATTTAAAGGTAAAATATTTGTGAGAAGCCACAAGTCAAAAACTAACTTGGTAAGCTGTGGAATTTTTTTGTTTTCTCAGAGCAATATAACCTTGCTTTCCACAGTTGTATGAGGGACTGACTTTGTCAAAAGCATCCAAGTATCCAAATGGTTGGTGTATTGCAAAGCAAACAAAAACACAACCTGCTCCTGAGGAGTGTGTGTTCTTTTCATTAGGTCTATGAAACAGTATGGTCATTGTCCAAATGAAGATTTCAGTTCCGCACGTGTATTCTGCCAGGTTGAACTGAAATATGTGTATGTGGAGACAATTTAGCAAGGCTGCTGGCCATGTCAGATTTTTGTCTATTTTCTTTCATCACAGGAAACATCCCAAACTACCAGGGACTGTTTTTTGTTTTGTTTTTTAAACACTGGTCGTTCTGGTGAAGTTTTTTTGTTGTTGTTAAGCTAATTTTTTTTCCATTGTATGTGTGTTTCCACTTTTGGGACATAGAGTAAATTTCACCTAAGCTATTTCGTATCACAGAATTTAATAGGGCTTGGTGATTAAGGAAGTAGATTAAAAATATATAGGAATTTTGAGACTGAACTGTCAATTACATTGTTTCAATAGTCCAATTTAGAACTCATGCTGATTTTTGAAAATTCCAAATGCAAGTCAGAGAACTTTCAAAATAAGCGATTTTATTTATGTGCTAAAATGATTGGTCTGAATACCATGCCTGGCCTCTAGGTAGACAAGAGTGAAGATACCATTCCTGCTTCAAACAGCTTGGTCTCAGGCTGGGGGACAGAAATGGAATATGAAAGTAGCATGAGCATTATACAGCAGCATTCCAAGGCCCAGTTTTATGCAGAACATCAAGTAAATGATTCTCTTCTGTGAAGACAGGAGCTAACTTTCACAGTATGTTCATTTCAGAATGATGACTAAACTTTGGTAGAAAGGGTTCCTTCTTGGTATAGCCATATTTGAAGTAATCTTATTCCCTGAAATCATATCTTATTGATTTATGACTTGCCAAAAATATTTTTTGAAAGCCGCTATGTTTTGTCTGTTGGGTTACCAGGAGGAATTACTGTTTATTTTCACCCATCTTTGGCTGCTGCTGAGAAAGGCATTTCTCCAGCCCTCTCACCTCTCCCTCTAGGCCTTCCCCAGGGGGCTTTCTTTGGATCCAAAGCCAAGCCCCAGAGTGACATATCCCTGAGGGTAAAATGCTCTTTGTCCTAGTACTAACGCTATTATCAGTCTACCAGTCTCGAAGACTTTCATATTCCCATGAGACACTGTTCAACACTGAAATCCAACAGCTAATCCTTTCACCCTTTTACCTCAGCCTTGTCTGAGGAGGATTTTATCTAAAAATGATAGCCTTACACTTAATCTCTGCAGTCTACATAATTTTAAGATAACATTCCTCTTCCTTCAGCCTTTTCATCCTTTTGTTCATGTGAAAGTATACAAAGAGTACCCTTGAAGGTGGGAGCACCATGGTGTTTTTCCTTGAGTTTCATATCACTAATGTTTAATTGCAATTGGAACGGAAGTGCTCAATAAATATTTGTTAAGAGTGAATAAATGCCACTGTATCCCGTTTCCAATCTGTCCCTAGAGAATTGTCAAGTCAACTGATAGACTTAGCCCTGAAATTGGTGCAGAAGCTAATTGACTGACTGGCTGGAAGGCCAGTGAAGGCAGCAAGTTGGTCAGCAGGTTCTACAATGCACAGGAGCCTTGTCTGTGCATGGTATCAAGGCCATGCCAGCACTGGCCATCCCATCATTAGCTCTTCCATCTGCATAAGTGAAACTGTCCTCCTTACCCATATTTTAATCTTCAAGACTGTCTTTTATACTCACTTTAAGTATATATCTATATTAAGTTATTGCAGGAGAGGCAGGGTATAGAAAATAGTTTAGTCCAGTTTCCATATCTGAGAGAGAACCCAGGATCTTTTTGTAAGCATCAAAAATTAAAAGATCTAGAATTTAAAAAATGAACAAAAGCCTTTAGAAATGAAACAGTTTTGTAGATCATAAGGACTAACACTCTATTGATTACAGATGAGAAATCAGATGCCCAGAGAGATAGATCAGGAAATGATATTCCTAAGTTCATATACACGGTTGACAGACTGGGAATAGAATCTCTTGTATCAAACCCTTGCCGTGAGCTGAGAGTTGGCACCCTCTAAGCAGAACTGTCTGTATGGAAAGGCACGGTTTTCTCCCTGGGCTCTGCATTCAAATGCAGCTCCCTACTGTACTGACACCTCCACACTTTATTAACTGTTTCAGGTGGTATTTGCTAAATGAAAAAAACACTGCAAACAAAAAGGCACCTTTCCAAAAACGTGTCTTTCTGAATTCCACTATTTTGAAGGCCATACAGAATGCCTCTGGCCTCTGCAGGGTAAGGTGGGAAGTGGGTAATGCATGGAAAATTCAAGCAGCTTGCACTTCCCATTTTTTAAATGCCTGGCATGGGAGAGGTGCCTGAAAAATAGAATCTGAGTGAGTGACAGGCCTGCCTCAACTTCCTGTCAATCACTGCAATAGCCCCACCCACATTCCCACCTCTGGTCCCAAGTCCATTCATCTTCATGCTTTTGGCCAAACTCCTGTGCAACTGACAAAATTCCCTCCATCATTTTATTACTCTCCCAAATGCC